TCTTCTTTCTTGTTAAAATAGTCTGGTAAATTCTAAATATTATGTATACAGAAATTGGCCAGACCCAGTAAAATACAACAGAGTGGCTGGGCATGGTGTCTCATGCCTGTAATCCCAGCATTTTGGGAGGCTGAGATGGGTGGATTGCCTGAGGTCAGGGGTTCGAAACCAGCCTGACAAACATGGTGAAACCCCATCTCTGAAAAAAAACAGAAAAAAAATACAACAGAGCAGGAAGGAAAAGGGCCCTGCCTGGAGATTAGTCAGGGCCTCACTCCTGAGGCGGGCACTGTGGTTGCTCTGTCCAGATCCACTGGCTTCCCTCTGGCACTTGTGTGTCTCCCCTCCAGCTTCTGGGTACCACGCCTGTGATTCTTCTTTGCATACTGTCCTCAGACTACTGGAGCAGCATCATCCAAACTGGCAAAGAGCAGAGAGTGCCTGATAATTTCTTTCCCTCCCGACCGCTCTCCCTGCCACCCCCAACGCCTACCTCCATCCCTTCTGCTGGGACTGACCATTGTGAGACTGGGAAAGCCCAGCACCCTTGTTTTAGGTCAGGTTAATTTGGAGGCATAATCTATACTTCAGAGCTCCCGTGGGGAATAAAATTGAAGCTGCACTTGGTGGGATGCTGCCTGACCTGACATCTTACCGATTACTCAGGAAACACTTGCAGAATAAATCACTGTGTACAAATCCTTGCCTTAGGATCTGCTTTTGGGGAACTCAACACAAGACCCACAAGTGGAATTATCAAAGAAATGTTTCAATATTACATCTCCTTCCAGCCGTCATGCAGGCACGTAACGTCAGCCTAGCAGCTTCTAATTCCTCCCACTGAGGCAGAAATCATTTTAAAAACCAATCTCGCTGCAGGGCACAGTGGGGCATTCCTGAAGTGCCAGCTACTTGAGGTTGAGGTGGGAGGACTGCTTGAGCCCAGGAGGGCAAGGCTGCAGTGAGCTGTGAATGTGTCACTGCATTCCAGCCCGGGTGACAAAGGAGACTCTGTCTCATTTCAAAAATAAATAAAAAGCCAATCAAAGTTAGGATGTCAACATATGAATTGCGGGCAGACATAAATTAGCCTATAACATCCATTGTTTGTAAGGCCAAAAGGAGCGCTTCTAACCAGTCACCTCCCCCTTTGTGTGGCGTACCGTTCGTCCTAAAAAGTGCCTGGCTTCCATACGTTAGTTATGCCCATTTACTTCCTTTCTTTGAAAGTAGATAGACCCACAGGTCTTAAAGTGGACTGAAGATGAGTTGAAAGCTGGTGGTGAATGAAGAAATGTCTAGCCAGCAAAGTCTCAAGGAAGGAGCCTTTACTCAGGCGTTCCATCGCGTGAGCTGCCTGCCTGAGAAGGATGTGGCCGGACCCCGCACTCTAGTGATATCCACTCATCCACCCTTTGACATGTTTCAGTGTATCCGTTGGCAATATACGTGATTGTTATCCTAGATTTGTTCTAATACACGCTAGTTTCCGGAAGCTGAAGAATAAAGTAATACACTATAGTTACGGAAAATCAGAACCCCAGGAGAACTCATCAGTTATGAGGAGCAAGGGCCAAACCAAAGGAGGGGGCTTTGACTTATTTTCCCCTTAGCTTTGTTGAAGCATATTCGAAAAATGAAAATTGCAGTCTGGGTGCAGTAGCTCACACCTGTAAACACAGCATTTTGGGAGGCCAGGGCTTGAGCCCAAGAGTTCAGGACCAGCACGGACAACACAGTGAGACACCATCTCTACAAAAATAAAAGAAATTAATCAGGTATAGTGGCACGTGCCTGTAGTCCCAAGCTACTTGGGTGGCTGAGGTGGGAGGATCAGCTGAGTCCAAGGTTGAGGCAGCAGTGAGCCGTGATCACACCACTGCACTGCAGCCTGGGTGACAGAGTGAGGCTTTGTCTCAAAAAAAAAAAAAGTATTAAAGAAAAACACATTAAAAAGTTGTATACATTTTAGGTATACAACCTGATGATATGATATACATATACATTATGAAATAAGCACAATCAAGTTAGCATATCCCTCATCTCACATAATTAACATTTTTATGTGTGGAAGAACACTTAAGATCTATTGTCTTTGCACATTTCAAGTAGTATACCAGATAGTGTTATTGATCATAGTCACCACAATATATGTTACATCCCAGAACTCACTCATCTGATAATTGAAAAACCCAGACACAGTGAGATCAATACTGTAAGATCTCCCTTATATGTAGAATCTTTAAAAAAAAAAAAAAAAAAAAAAAAGGGGGAGGCAAGAGAGAGAGACAGAGAGATTGGCTTTTTATTTATTTATGTATTTATTTTTAAGACGAGGTTTCACGATGTTGGTCAGACTGGTCTTGAACTCCTGACCTCAGGTGATCCGCCTGCCTTGACCTCCAAAGTGCTTGGATTACAGGCGTGAGCCACCACGCCTGGCCTGAGATTGGCTTTTTAAATGATTTCTGCCCCAATGGGAGGTTTAAGATACTGCTAAACTGGCCTGACCGCAGAAGAGCAGTAGATGCAATATTGAAATTTCTCTTTGAGTAATTCTGCTTGCGGCACAATTTACTCTCTCTCACCAGGAGTTGGTTGTGATTTTTACAAGATTCTTTGAGTCTTTACACAGAAAAGATATTTAAAAGCTGAGTCCCATGGTTCATGCCTGTAATCCCAGCACTTTGGGAGGCTGAGGCAGGAAGAATGCTTCAGCCCAGGAGTTAGAGACCAGCCTGGGCAACACAATAAGATCTCATCACTATTGGAAAAGAAGGAAAGAAGGAAAGGAACAAAGGAAGGAAGGAAGGAAGGAAGGAAGGAAGGAAGGAAGGAAGGAAGGAAGGAAGGAAGGAGGGAAGGAGGGAAGGAGGGAAGGAGGGAAGGAGGGAAGGAGGGAAGGAGGGAAGGAGGGAGGGAAGGAGGGAAGGAGGGAAGGAGGGAAGGAGGGAAGGAAGGAAGGAAGGAAGGAAGGAACGAAGGAAGGAAGGCAGGTAGGCAGGCTATTTAAATAAAGCAATTTCTCCTCCATGGTGATTTCACAGTCTAGCCATGGGGGAAAAAAACTTTCATAAAACTGGCCAACCTAAGCTCAAAATCTTTTCAACACTCCAGACAATTCTTCATGTCCTTCACTTACAATTAAATTATTTTTGTCACTCTCAACAGGAGCAAGACCCTCTTAGATTAGAAGTCAATAAAATTATCACTCATTGTCTTCTGCTTGACTCTACAAACTCTGGCAAATACCTCTGGAATGATATCAAGTGCTACTTACTGCATCAAACTAAGTTTTGTTTTTCTGTTTCTCAGCTCTCAATTATGTAGATGCATAATCATTAAGTAAACAGGTGTTAATATCTCATGTACATTCGTCAGAAGCAATGTTTAAAAAAATCAACAATGCCAAAATATATTAGGCAGTCAATGGCTTTCTTCCCCTAAAGAATTCATGTCTATGATTTGGCTTGCTGCCCCTCCAAATTATCAGATTTCATTAAAGTGAAAATTAAAATAGTATACATCTGAGGTTGCTGGGTTTTGTTGTTGCTCCGGTTAAACTGAGTTAATCCTTCTGTAATTTAAGATTTGAGCCATAGAACAATGAAATGAAACTGGATTCACCGTTTCTAATTTTCTAGGGGCTCCTTTCATATTTTCACACTCCTGACAGGCTAAATTTCTCCACTGACCTTAATTCTAGACAACTGCAGAACAAAATGTTCTCTTTTTTTTTTAACTTCAAAATACTCTCGCTCTGCTTTAATACCAACAATTGTGCTTAGATGGCCAAGTGTCTGACTCCATCTCATCAAAAGGCTGCTGCTGGCACTGTCCAGTTTGGACTATAAGTTTTTTAGTCAGCAACTTTCACAGATATATATATATATGTATATTTGGTTTATGGACAGGTACTGAGGTCAAACAGCACTATCTCTTAGTACTCAGAGGTTTTTGTTTCATTACAGGATAAAATGTCTTAAGTCACTGTGAAGTACAATAAATAGCAGACTCATGAAACAAAACTGCCCCCTGCTGCGAACTACTAAGAGAGAAGTTAACCATTACCAAGTAACAATTTTGCAGGAAATTATGTCACTGATACAGAAGTTACTGGTTAACTGGAGTCCAGTTTCTGGAATTAATATAAAGGACTACTTTCATGAACTCTCATGTCAAAGTTTGAAAATTTTAATTAAAAAAAGTTGTACCAGTTGATAAGACTGTGAGCAGGAGAGGGGGTAGTCTTACTAAGGCTGGATGCCTTAATGTTTTCTACGCACACATATTGGGTTCCACCTTAACCATAAAAACTATGGAAGATTCAGTAATTGCCCAACGTAGCATTTCTCAACCTCTCAGTTTTGGAATCTTTTTTTATCATTTCCCAGTGATATTTTCATATAATACAATGAAGCCATGCTGGGTTTAGATTTTGAAAGCACAGTTTGAAGGATCTTTGTGAATGAATAAAAAGGTTTTAGGAACATTTAACTTAAAAATGCAGTAAAATGTTACTCAGCACACCCTGAACCCTGACTAATGTAACTTTTGAACCATGATCCGCTCAATTTTAATCTGAGGAAGACAACTGGCAAAATTAGTATCAGAAATTTATTCAAACCGGAGGAGGAGAAGAGGAAGGGAGAGGCAAATCACCACACTTCATTTATTCCAAGACGCACGTTTTTTTCCACATCTTTAAATCTCTGAAATCAGGATGTGCCCGACAGTCAATGAAGTCTTGCAATTAATTGTCCTAGCCAGGTGGTGGGCACAGCATAGGTTCATGGCATGAGCAGAATCAGAACACGGTCATACTGTCCACATTGTCACCACTTCAGCTGAGAGGTGCGCATGGTTATTCTCTCAAATGTTAACTTTAATTGACTTTTACAATTTTTTTTTTTAAGATTACAACATGATTTAGCATGGAAATGAAGTTTTAGGATGGCCAGGTGTGGTGGCTCACCCCTGTAATCCCAGCACTTTGGGAGGCCTAGGTGGGTAGATCACCTGAGGTTGTAAGTTTGAGGCCAGCCTGACCAACATGGAGAAACCCCGTCTCTACTAAAAATACAAAATTAGCCGGGCATGGTGGCACATACCTGTAATCTCAGCTATTTGGGAGGCTGAGGCAGGAGGATCTCTTGAACCTGGGAGTGGGAGGTTGCGGTGAGCCAAGATCGAGCTATTGCCCTCCAGCCTTGGCAACAAGAGCGAAACTCCACCTCAAAAAAAAAAAAAAAAGGTGGGGGGTGGGGAGCTGGGGAGAGATAGCAAGGGGAGAGATGCCAGATGTAGGTGATGGGGAGGCAGGCAGCAAATCACACTGCCACATGTGTACCTATGCAACAATCTTGCATATTCTTCACATGTACCCCAAAACCTAAAATGCAATAAAATACATGGGGAAAAAAAAGAAGTTTTATGAATGCCTTAATTAAAATTTTCTTGCATTTCTCCATTAATGTAAGATAACGTTATATTATAAAAATATATGCCCAAAAAAGAGAAATAAGAAAAAAAAATCAATATCTAATACGTCTAAAAGAATACTTGGCCAGGTGCAGTGATTCATGCCTATAAATCCAGCGCTTTTGGGAGGCTGATGTGGGAGACTCGCTTGACGCCAAGAGTTTGTGGCCAGCCTGAGTAACACAGTGAGACCCCTGTCTCTACAAAAAATTTAAAAATTAGCCAAGTGTGCTGCTGTGCACCTGTAGTCCTAGCTTCTCAAAAGGCTGACGTGTGAGGGTCATTTGAACCCAGGAGTTCAAAGTGACGGAGAGCTAGGATTGCACAACTGCCCTCTAGCCAGGGTCAGAGTAAAACCATGTCTCTTTTGTTGTTGTTGTTGTTTTCCCTGTTTATTTATTTTATTGCATTTTAGGCTTTGGCGTACATGTGAAGAACATGCAAGATTGTTGCATAGGTACACACGTGGCAGTGTGATTTGCTGCCTTCCTCCCCATCACCTACATCTGGCATCTCTCCCCTTGCTATCTCTCCCCAGCTCCCCACCCCCCACTGTCCCTCCCCTATTTCCCCCCAACTGAACCCAGTGTGTAGTGCTCCCCTCCCTGTGTCCACGTGTTCTCATTGTTCAACACCCACCTATGAGTGAGAACATGCGGTGTTTGATCTTCTGCTCTTCTGTCAGTTTGCTGAGAATGATGGTCTCCAGGTTCATCCATGTCCCTACAAAGGACCCAAACTCATCGTTTTTGATGGCTGCATAATATTCCATGATGTATACGTGCCACATTTTCCCTGTCCAGTCTATCGTCGATGGTCATTTGGGTTGGTTCCAGGTCTTTGTTATTGTAAACAGTGCTGCAATGAACATTCGTGTGCACGTGTCCTTATAGTAGAACGATTTGTAATCCTTTGGATATATACCCAGTAATGGGATTGCTGGGTCAAATGGGATTTCTATTTCTAGGTCCTTGAGGAATCGCCACACTGTCTCTTAAAAAAAAAAAAAAAAAAAGAATACTTTCAATAAGTACAACATTTTTGAAAATCTATGTCATAAGAAGGCATTGTGTCATTATTTAAACAGAAAATATTTTCTTTGTGAAGGGTACATAAAATAGTAGCACATCTTGTAATCACAATTACCTTAGATCGTAAGTAGTAGTCATCCCAACCTATAGATCATAAATCTCTCCTGCAGCTTCACATACACAACTGGATTCTGCCACCACTTGGCCTTTCCTTAAGTCTATGCTCCACCTGGTGCAGTGGCTCATGCCTGTAATCATAACACTTTGAGAGGTTGAGGCGGGTGGATCGCTTGAGGTCAGGAGTTTGAGACCAGCCTGGCTAAAATGGTGATACCCCATCTCTACTAAAATTAAAAATTTGCTGGGCATGGTGGTGCATACCTATAATCCCAGCTACCTAGGAGGCTGAGGCAGCAGAACTGCTTGAACTTGAGAGGCAGAGGTTGCAGTGAGCCAAGATCATCATGCCACTGCACTCCAGCCTGGGGAGCAGAGCCAGACTCTGTCTCAAAAAAAAAAAAAAAAGAAGTCCAGTTGCCATCAACATTTCTTCATCTTCAAAAATCACAAAGTTTCCCAGTAGAGGAAGAAGAAAAGCTAGTAGCTGTCTTCTTAGGATCTAGCCATCTTCCTTCACAGATGTTCTTCAATTTATAATGGGGCTATGTCCTGATAAACCCACTGCAAATGCAAAATGTTGTAAGTGAAAATGCACTCAATACACCTAACCTAGCAAACATCACAGCTTAGCGTAGCTTGAACACATTCAGAAGATTTATATTAGCTTACAGTTAGGCAAAATCATCTCACATCTTTATAATAAAGTGTTGAATACCTCATGTAATTTATTGAATACTGTGCTGAAAGTGAAAAACAGAATGGTTGTGTGGGCACTTTTTTTTTTTTTTTTTGACACAGAGTCTAACTCTGTCGTCCCGGCGGGAGTGAAATGGCACGATCTTGGCTCACTGCAACTTCCGCCTCCCTGGTTCAAGCAATTCTCCTGCCTCAGCCTCCCAAGTAGATGAAATTACAGGTGCCCACCATCATGCCTGGCTAATTTTTCTATTTCTTAGAGACAGGGTTTCACCATGTTGGCCAAGCTGGTCTTGAACTCCTGACCTCAGGTGACCCACCCGCCTTGGCCTTCCAAAGTTCTGGGATTACAGGCATGAGCCACCATGCCCAGCCGTCGTACTGGTACTCGAAGTATGGTCTCTACTGTATGCGTGTTGCTTTCACAGCACCATAACTTGAATCACTGTAAGCTGGGGACTGTCTGCACTCTCATTAACCAACTTCGATTGTAAGATAATATGGAAACTAAAAGTGAGTTTATCTGGCATGAAAACTAATTTTAGGGAATTCACCAATAAGAAATTACATTTATAAACACAGCCTAGATCACCAAAGAATCACTAACTACTCTTGCAGAAAAGAATAATCCAGTTTAGAAACATTCCCAATAAGAACGTTGAAAGAAACATGGATTTCAGGTTAGGCGATGAACGGTTAGCTAGACTATTCATCAACTAAACCAGAAACCCATGCCCGTACTTGCTGGTTACCTGAAGTTCTGCCATCTCATATTGAAATTTGGATACTTTGAGACCTTTCCTTAGACATACGGTTATATTAAATGTACACTTAGCAACATCTTTTAAATGAAATTTTAAAAAATTAAAAGGTGCAGATATCTCTCTTACCAGTTTTAAAACTTCACTGCCAGCCCGGCACCATGGCTCCTGCCTATAATCCCAGCACTTTAGGAAGCCAAGGCATGCAGATCACCTGACATCAAGAGTTCGAGACCAGCCTGGCTAACATGGTGAAACCCTATCCCTACTAAAAATACAAAATTAGCTGGGTGTGGTGGCATGCACCTGCAATCCCAGCTACTCGGGAGGCTGAGGCAGGAGTACCAATGAACCTGGGAGGTGGAGGTTGCAGTGAGCCAGGATCGCACCATTATACTCCAGCCTGGGTGACAGAGGAAGACTCTTCTCAAAAAAAAAAAAACAAAAACAAAAACAAAATACACACACACACAAATTTCACTGCCATGTCTGGTAAACTAAATAAAGTCTAGCATCTTTTCCAACCTTCCCAGAAGAGTGAAATCAAATTCTTCTCAAATCATCTAGATGAGGCATGTGTGAGCCTGGCTTCACATTGTTCATGCAGGCAGAAGGGAGCAGAAAGTACAGAGGCATGTCCTGTAGTTACATGGCTTCTAAATAGGTAAAAGAGTGAAATTGAATAAATGATACACCATGTCATACAAAGTTTTACTCTACTTAATTCTATCTCCCCAAACTAAATTATGTTAATTTCTCATGAAATTTGCTGTTATCATTCCTGGCTGTTATCTAGAGCCAATTCAAGCATATTACAATATGAAGTGTGTGTACATTTATTTTTTAACACATACAGATGTACACTTGTTAAGATCTACTATCTTTACAAGCCAAAATCTCAAACATTTTGACAGAAGTTAAATACTTATAAAAAGAAAAAACTGGGCCAGGCGAGGTGGCTCACACCTGTAATCCCAGCACTTTGCGAGTCCGAGGTGGTGGATCATCTGAGGTTAAGAGTTTGAAACCAGCCTGGCCAACATGGTGAAACCCCGTCTCTACTAAAAATACAAAAAATTAGCCGGGCCTGGTGGAGGGTGCCAGTAATCTCAGCTACTTGGGAGGCTGAGGCAGGAGAATCGCCTGGACCTGGGAGTCAGATGTTGCAGTGAGCTGAGATCGCACCACCGCACTCCAGCCTGGGCGATAAGAGCAAAGCTCCATCTTAAAAAAAAAAGAAAAAAATGCTGCCTTACATTCAACACTTCCTCAATATACCCATCGATTACATATAAAGGTAGAGGCTGCACCAATTACCAACTGTCACCATATGCCATGCGTTTTCTTTAAAAGAGAGAATATTAGTTTTAATATGTTTATTCTGAGAAATTCTTTTAAAATATCTATGTGATGTAGCAATATTTCATCTCGAGGTCCTATCTTATACTACTGATTTCAAAAATTATAACTAAAAAAGGAATTGCAGTGTCAAGAAGCATGAACTTAGATGATAAGAAAGGAGATGTGCTGAGAATATTGTATAACCTTGTTATGTTTCTGATTTCTAGATAGGAATTAACTCTGACAAGCATGTATTAAAAGGTAAGAATAAATAAGCAAGCATAGGAACAGTGCTCCCTCCTGTGGCCAACCTCCTTGACAATCATGGGAAAAAGCATCTCCTGAAACCCTAGGATGGGTAATGGACACAGGCCCCAGAGAAGCACACCTCCCACTGCAGGTGCTGTGTTTAAAAAGGAAAATGGCTCACAAAGCCGGGATTTGTTTGTGATAATGGACACAATAAAACAGAGCACATTTTAAGTCATAAAAGCATAAAGAAAAATAAATTAAACTTAGTGCTGGAGACTAGCAACAGTTTTACAAATTTCACTGTCTAACATATGTGAAGAAGATGTCTATGAACATTTAAAGGGATGTGTCTTCTAAAAGAAAAGAAATAGTCTTAGCCAGGTGCGGTGGCTCACTCCTATAATCCCAGCACTTTGGGAGGCTGAGGCGGGTGGATCACGAGGTCAAGAGATCGAGACCATCCTGGTCAACATGCTGAAACCCCGTCTCTACTAAAAATACAAAAATTAGCTGGGCATGGTGGCGCGTGCCTGTAATCCCAGCTACTTGGGAGGCTGAGGCAGGAGAATTGCTTTAAACCGGAAAACGGAGGTTGTGGTGAGCCGAGATCGCGCCATTGCACTCCAGCCTGGGTAACAAGAGCGAAACTCCGTCTCAAAAAAAAAAAAATCTTGGCGAGTCCAGGTGCAGTGGTTCACACGTGTAATCCTGGCACTTTGAGTGGCAGAGGAGGGCGGAACATTTGAGCTCAGGGGTTTGAAACCAGCCTGACCAACGAGGTGAAATCCTGTCTCTACCAAAAATACAAAAAATTAGCCAGGGATGGTGGCACACACCTGTAATCTCAGCTACTCAGGAGGCTGAGGCATGAGGATCGCTTGAGGTGGAGGTTGTGGTGAGCCAAGATTGCACCGCTTCACTCTAGCCTGGATGGCAGAGTGAGACTCTGTCTAAGAATTAAAAAAAGAATAAGAAAAACAAAAACAAAAAGAAATAGAATGGTCTTGAGCTTTGTGGATCCTATTCCTTATTATAAAACACAGTAGTTCTCAGCCAGAATCACTCCTAAGACAATGGCAGTGTCTGGAGACATTTCTGGTTGTCCCAACCCTAAGAGCAGTGCTATTGGGACCTGGTGCATAAAGGTCGGAAATATTGTTAAACATCCTACAATGCACAGATCACCTCACCCCCACAAACAAAACGTCAACAGAACTGAGGTTGAGAAATCCTGATATAAGAATATTCTACAATCGTTTCCATGTGCAATCTATAAACCGTAAGCTTTATAAATAGTATTTACTAAATTCAAAGCCAAATACATTTTCAATAAAATTCCAGCAACTAAATCAGAAATTCAGGAAACATGATTCTCATGAACTCAGTCTCATGTCTGATTACACCCTTTTTGTCTTATAATACGGTATACTTACAATGTTTAGCCATTGTCTTTCAAAATGGAAAATACAGACTGGACACCGTGCATCACACATGTAATCCCAGCACTTTGGGAGGCCGAAGCAGGTGGATTACCTGAGGTCAGGAGTTTGAGACCAGCCTGGCCAACTTGGTGAAACCCTGTCTCTACTAAAAACCCAAAAATTAGCCAGGCGTGGTGACACACACCTGTAATCCCAGCTACTCAGGAGGCTGAGGCAGGAGGACCGCTTGAACCCATGAGCTGTAGCTTCCAGTGAGTAGAGCTCACGCATTACACTACCGCCTGGGCAACAAGAGTGAAACTCTATCTCAAAAAAAATAAATAAATAAAAAATACGTTTTGTTTTGGTAGATAGAAAGCATGAAATATAAATTAATATATGTATTATTGTCCCTTGGAGAAATGCTAAGAGAGTAAAATTGTTTAAATTAACTCCAGGTAGATCTAAATGTTTTCAGTAGAAAACATGCCTGCTAGCGAAAGGTGCTTTGAGAGCAGAAGCAAAGAGAGAACAGAGTCACAGACACATTGTCACGCCGCCGGCAACCAAAGAAAAGCCATTATTTTAGGGCTGAGGTCCCCAGCCTGGGATCTTTGTATCCTTAGGCTCTGCGAAAATAAGAAGAGTCTGAAAGCTATTTTCACCGCGTCAAAAATCATCTAATGACAATGGAACATTTGTCTACCATAAAATAGATCGGGTTCACTAAAATGAAAAACTCAGTGTGTAGACACTTACTACATGGAAGTTCATTTCATTGAATGTGACGTGGCTGGAATTTCTAGATCCTTTACTAAAATAAAATACAAACAGTTCTTTATGTTTAAACAAAAAGTTGAAAACTACCAGCCTGAAGAAACCAAGTCGTTAAGGTGAGTAAGTGTGGAAAAGTAAAGCCATGGTACAATACTGTGTCGACTTTGCTCTCCAGTTTGCTACTTGTAATCTTCATACAGTGCTTGGTATGTGATTACAAATGTGTTAAAACGCACTCTCTGAATGAAGAGGCCCCCAGACAGGCTTTGTGTGAGCAACATGGCTGATGATTCACCCGGGTGCAGGCGGGCTGAGGCCGAAAAGGGCGTGAGCGAAGGGCGATGGGATAGGAGTTGACTACAGCTTTGGGGTGGGCAGTGGAAGTTTACAGAAGTTACAGTTGGCAGTCTTTTGCAAGCTGGGAGGGGGTCGCAGGGTGTGGAGTCAGGAGGTTGGGCCAAGGTCGGTTACAAAGTCCAATGCCCTGGTCAACTGAGGTGGGATAAGAAACAATGTCTCAGGTTAGTTAGGCGCAGCAGGGTTGATCGTTCTTCCTTCCAGCTGATTCAGGTTTTCTAATTCCAGAAGGCCCTCCAGAGCTGTATGTAGGGTTCATGGATCGCCATGCTGTCCAAGGCACAGTCAGGCCTTACAAAACGCAGGTATTCTGGCCTAAGGCAGAACTTTCAAAAGGACTAGAACCTCCCCAAGTTCAGAATGGTGGCAGGCAGTCAGAAAGCCCCAAGGGAAACAGTCGAGAGACGGGGAGACCAGACTTCTAAAACCTTGACAGAGAACCTTCTCCCACATCAGAGCTGAGCATCTGCATTGGTTTTCATGAAGAAGACCCATGGGTTGTTTCATCATGGAATTTAATGAAAATTGGAGTGATGGTAACTTCTAATCCCTTTACTACTGTTGTAACCAAGTCAGCATGAAATCACCACTGAGACAAAGACTAGGCCAAATGACAGGGTCTTTACTGCCGGAGGCCACGGGTCTCTCTAACCTGCAGCCCAGACAGAAGGGTGTCAAGACCTTTTATGGCAGTAAATCACCTCCTGGGCAGGGATGGGGGTGAAAGGCTTCGGACATTCCGAGGGCCAGGGAACTTTGGACATTCCGATTGTTACTTAAGTGGTTCACAGAAGTCAAGATAAGCATTAGTTTACACATTGCCTGGGTAGGGTGGAAGTTACAGACCCTAGTTACTTATTATAAGTTGCAGGGGCCAAGATGGCATGGGTTTGGACTGCTTGCCTGTCACATCAGGGTTACAGAGAGCAGTTTCTACAGAAAGCCGAGGTATGGTTGAGGTATACAGTTTTTTGTTTGTTTTTTTTTAAGGTGGATAGTGATTTAATGGTTTTTTTTAAATTGCATTTTAGGTTTTGGGGTACATGTGAAGAACATGCAAAATTGTTGCATAGGTACACACGTGGCAGTGTGGTTTGCTGCCTTCCTCCCCTTCACCTATATCTGGCATTTCTGCCCATGCTCTCTCTCCCCAACTCCCCACCCCTCACTGTCCCTTCCCTATTTCCCCCACGACAGACCCCAGTGTGTAGTGCTCCCCTCCCTGTGTCCATGTGTTCTCATTGTTCAACACCCGCCTATGAATGAGAACATGCGGTGTTTGATTTTCTGTTCTTATGTCAGTTTGCTGAGAATGATGGTTTCCAGGTTCATCCATGTCCCTACAAAGGACACGAACTCATCGTTTTTGATGGCTGCATAATATTCCATGGTGTATATGTGCCACATTCTCCCTGTCCAGTCTAATCAGGCTGACCCAGTTTTCACTGGTTTCTAAGATAAGCTTTGTCAGGGTTTCTTTTAGGGCCCGGTTCATACGCTCGACATATCCTAAACTCTGGGGATGACAGGCACAGTGCCATTTCCAGGATATACCCAAGGCCTTGGCTAGGCCCCGAGAAATTTGTGCAGTAAAGGCGGGCCCACTGTCTGACCCCGGTGTTGGAGGGAGGCCGAACCGAGGAACAAGGTCCTGTAATATATTTTTCAGTAACTGCTAAAGCAGTCTCGGACTTAGTGGGGAAAGCCTTGACCCATCCAGAGAAAGTATTTATAAACACAACGAGGTATTTATAGCTATTTACTGGGGGTTTTATTTGAGTGAAATTTACTTCCCAGTGCTCCCCAGGGCTAGTTGCTCTGAGTGTCACTCCTACCTGGCTAGACCTGTTCCCTCCCCGATTTGCTCAGTCACATACATTACGCCGAGTAGTGATTTCCTTGATAAGCTCCTGTAAATGAGGCATGTAGTACTTGGCTTTTAGCAGTTCAGTTAGTTTGGTCTGTCCTAAGTGAGTGGCCTGGTGTGTGTCCTTAACTAGGGCCTGTCCTAGAGCCTCGGGGACCACAATCCTTTGTTCTGGCAGTATCCACCATCCTGTGGAGCCCTGTGCGGCACCCTGTTCCTTTGCAAAGTCCTTCTCACATGAGGAGTACGTGGGAGTAGGGGCAGAACTGGGGCGGGCAGGGTTACAGGAGGGTCAGTGGTTTCACTGGCCCATGGCTGCCTCCCTGGCCTGCAAGTCAGCAGCCCTGTTTCCCTTGCCTCCGGTGAATCCCCCTTTTGGTGTCCCTGCAATGGATGAGTGCCACAGTCTTGGGCTTCCATACAGCCTCCAGCAGGGCTGGAATTTCCTCTTTCATAGCTTTTCCTTCTGAGGTAAGTAGTCCTCCTTCTTTACATATCGATCCATGTACATGGGCTATAGTGAAGGCAAAACACCTGTCGGTATACATAGTGACAGGCTGTCCCTCTGCCTAGTTTAAGGCTTTTATTATGGCTACAAGTTCAGCCTTTTGGGCTGAAGTCCCATGAGGAAGGGCTTGGGCCCAGATGACCCGCTCTAGGATGACTGCGGCTGTCCCCGCATACCTGACTCCGTTGACCATAAAACTGCTGCCATCCGTACACAGTACCTCTTCCGGGTTCCGTAAGGCGACGTCGGTGAGGTCCGGTCGCGCGGTTTGGATGACATCTATTATTGGTTGACAGTCATGTATGGGTTCTTCTGACTCACAATGAGGCAGCAGTGTGGCCGGATTCAGGACTGTAGTCTTCAGGAACTTGATGCAGGGCTGGTCCAAGAGTAAACCTGATACGGTACTACGCGGGCATTAGACACCCACCTTCCTGGAGCCCCTCGGGGTAGTGATTCTACCGCATGGGGTGCCTGTCCACCTCTTTTACCAACAGGGCTGTTGCTGCCAAGGACCGAAGGCAGGCTGGCCACCCAGAGGCTGCAGGATCAAGTCTTTTTGATAGGTAGGTGACCGGCCTGGACCACGCTCCTAACATCTGGGTGAGCACCCCCTTCGCGATTCCTTGTTTTTTTATGTACAAACAACCGGAAGGGTTTAGAACTATCTGGCAAGGCCAGGGCTGGGGCCGAGGTCAGAGCGGCTTTGTCAAAAGCCTGTTCTACTACTGTCCAAATTAGGGGCTGATTCCCACCTGTGCAGGCATACAGAGGCCTGGCTATTTAGGCAAAACCTAAAATCCATAGCGTACAGCACCCTACCGCCCCAAGGAACTCCGGAACCTGGCGTTTTGTGGCAGGGCTGGGTATCTGTGGCACTGCTGGGACTCGGCTGGGCGCCAGCACCCGGTTGCCTTTTTCTATGATGTAGCCCAGGTAAGTAACCTTTTGTTGACAGAGTTGGGCCTTTTTGGCTGAGACTTGATATCCCAGAGTTTGTAAGGTGAACAGTAACGACTGGGTGGCTCCCCTGCAGGCCTCTGGGGTTCTTGAGGCCAGAAGTAAGTTATTTGCATATTGGAGTACAGTACACTCAGGGAACTCGGTATGGAAGGTGGCAAGATCCTGGCTAAGTGCCTTACTAAATAGGGTGGGGGAGTTTTTGACCCCTGAGGCAGCCAGGTTTATGTGAGTTGGCCCTAGACCCCAGTGTCTGGTCCGTCTATTTAAAGGCAAATATAGGTCTGCTGACTGGGGCCAGTGGGATGCAAAAGAATTGCACCCTTGAGGTCCAGGACAGAATAGTAATGGTGGTTTGTGTTCAGGGGTCTTAGGAGGGTACATGGATTTGGGACCTTGGAGTGGACAGTTTCTACTCTTTTATTTACTCCCCTTAAGTCCTGTACTAGCTGGTAATCCTTTGTGCCAGGTTTTAGAACAGGGAGCAGGGGGGTGTTCCAGGGTGACTTGCAGGCGGTGAGAGCTCCTCCTTCCAGGAGTCTTGTTATGTGCGGAGCGATTCCCCGCCTGGCTCCCTGACTCACTCCGTATTGCCGTACCTGGACCTGAGCTGCTGTCGCCAACAGTTGGACCACAACCGGGGTACAGTGTTCTGCCAGACCTGGGGAATTGGCATCAGCCCGCACTCCAGGTACACTCTCCTGGAATTGGCCGAGGAGGTCTGACGTTGAAGCCTGATTTGTTTCGGGTGATGAGGCTTCCTGCAGGAGATGCTCGTCTGACAGAGCACAGGTGATGAGGATTTGCTGAGGTGCTTTCCACACGGAGGGCAAAGTGGTTGCTCAGAGTTTGTGAAGTAGGTCCCGCCCTAATAGCGGGTACGGGCATTCTGGAAGAACTAAGAAGGAATGGGTAACGGTGCCATTTCTTCAGATAACGACTTGATTGTGGTTCATGAACTGGTTGCGGTCTTTCCTGTAGCCCCCTGGATGACTGTTTTCCTGCTGGATAGTGGTCCCAGGGGCTGAGTAAGGACAGAGTGGGCCACCCCGCTGTTTACTAAAAAACGGATCAGTTTGCCCCAATCTTTAAAGTAACCCGGGGCTCCTGGGGGGCTTAACAAATAAGGGCCCTGGCCTGTCAGTCCTGACCTCCTAAATTGAGGTTAGCCCTTGGTGGCTTTTCCTGAGTGGTTACTCGTCTTTTTCTCTTGGGGCACTTATTTTTTAAAGTCCCTCTTGTTTACAGTACGTACATTGATTTTTTCCTAAGTGGGGAGCCGGGGACCCCGGGGGCCCTTTTGCAAGGCCCCCTGCCCACATAATGACTCATGTTTCCTGAAGGGCTGCTATCACTGCCTTAGTAACTTTTTGTCTTCTATGGCTTCAGGAGCATCCCTGTTGCTAAAAACCTTCTGGGCAATTTCCAGCAATTGGGCTAAGAATCCATCTAGTTTTTGTAACTTTTTCCTGATACCTGGGCTGACTGGGAGACAAAGGCCAAGTTAATGGCCTGTCGATTTTCCAGGGCCTCAGGGTCTATAGGAGTATGGGTACGGTATGCCTCTTGTAGGTTCCAGGAAAGCAGCCGGCGACCCCTGCGGACCCTGAGTCACTGTTCCTACCTTGGAGAGGTTGATGGGCTTCCTAGCTACCCCCTTAACCTCTGCTAAAAGATGCCGGTGAAAAGTGTTCAGAGCCTGGTGACCCCCTGAGGTGTTGGGGTCCCATTTCGGTTGGGTAGAGGGAAAAACCTTTTCAATTTGGTCCAGGGTTTTTTTTTTTTACTGTTCCTCCCCTGGACCTATGATGGCCTTCAGGGCTTCCTGTCTAATTCTGCCTCTTTTCTCTGTGGTGAACAGAATCAGTAATAATTGTTGGCAGTCGTCCCAAGTGGGGTGATGAGTCTGGAGCACAGATTCCAAGAGACCTGTCAAAGCCTGGGGCTTCTCAGACAACGGGGGATGTTGAGCCTTCTGACAGAACTTCCTCCATTGTAAAACCGCACCGCTGCCTCCTCAAGTTCCCCAGCCTCCCAGCACGACCCCGCCCCGGGAACTTTCCATCTCAGCAGGCCCCTAACCCTCCCCCTCACCATCTCAGCAGGCCCCTAACCCTCCCCCTCACCATCTCAGCAGGTCCCTAACCCTCCCCCGTCAACATCTCAGCAGTTCCCTAGCACTGCGCCCTCCTGGGAACTATTAAACTCAGCAGTTCCCTAGCACGACCCCTCCCGGGAACCATTAAACTCAGCAGTTCCCCAGCCCTTCCCCTCCTGCACAGCCCCTCACACCAGATGCATCTGCCAGCTTGCAGGCTGTAAAAATCCCCTTTGCCACGCCACGGGAGCTGCGCGCCAATTTTGGGTGCAGCCCGGCAGCATTTTCCTTGCTCTTAATAACGCTTGTTCTGGCACTGGGTGTTTGTCCCTCTCTTTAATTTCTATCACCTTCCAGTATAAGTGACTTGATGAGAAGAAGGGGATGTGAACAAAGAATGGGTAACCCCGATGGTCTTCTCCCTTTGGGGGTGCCTCTTGGAGAGAAAGGACCGCTGGTGGGTGTGGAGCCCCGCTGCAGGTGTGCAGGGGGTACAAGTGTTGGTTACTGGTACTGTGGGGGGGGAAGGTGATGAGGCCCTGGTTCAGAGGGCCTTGAGTGGGGCGGAGGTAATTCCTGATCCTCCGCTGGGCAGGGAAGTATGGCTGGCGCAGAAGGGGCTTTCTTGGGGCTGCCAACATAACTTGTAATCCAGCATGCTTTATGCAGTGTTTAAGCCAAGAGGGGGGCGGTTGAACTAAGCCTAGCCACTGGTCAATGTATGGAAACTGATCTGGGTGCCCAGGAGAGCCTGTCGCCACATTCCATACAGCCTGAGTCACCTTGGGATTACATGTCCCAAAGTCTGGCCACCCCACCTCAAACGATAGCCACTCCAATTTACACAGGGTGCGGAGTTTTTTCAGTGTTAGTTTTACCCCATATTGGCCTGAAAATCTAGCCTTGAAATTGGCCGTCATGCACTGGAGGGGGGTGCAGGGCCAGGAAACAGATGATCCCATCTTTTTTTTTTTTTTTTTTAACCAATTCAGATGGAAAAGTTCTGCTGTAGAGAGAGCTAATCCTAAGCAAGACAAATTATACCAATTATAAAGACATATAGACATCAGCTTCTGATTTCCCTGAAAAGCTTTTACAATTTAACACTGGCTCCACTGAGAACTTGAACCAGCAACTTTGTAATTACAGGTCCCATACCTTAAATAGCATGCTAGCAGGCCGCTTGCTGCAGAGGTACGCAGGAAGCTTTCTTAACCCGTATTTTGGATGCACCTACTGCACCCCCAGGCTGTGTGGCGTGGCAGTCAGCAGAGAAAGAAAAGAAACCCTTTTTGCATCAGTTTAAAACTGAGCTAGAAGCCGCTGGGCGGGCTGTGAGTTCCCGGCCCCTGCCGCCTTCGATTGCCTTGACACAAGGACCCTGAAAAGCATTAAATGCCTCTCTCCCTATCTCTCTCTCTTTTCTCTCTCTCTTTTTCTCTCCTCTCTGTCTCTTTTTTTCCCCAACTTTGTCTGTCTCTCTCTCCTCTCTCCGTCCCTTGTCTCTGTCTCTTTTATCTGTTTCTCCTCTCTGTCCCTTGTTCTTCCCGCTTTCTCTCTCTCTCTCCTCTCTCCCTCCCCCTCTCTGTCTCTCTCTCTCCTCTCTCCCTCCCTTCTCTCTCTCTCTTTTTCTTCCTACTTTCTCTGTCTGTTTTTCCTCTCTCCCTCCCCTCTCTCTGTCTCTCTCTCTTTTCTCTCTCTCTCCTCTCTCCTTTTTTATTAATAGTTACTCGGGTTTGTGGCTTTTGTGGTGTTTCCAGTTTGGCAGGGGTTACGCTCGCGTTGTGCTCTCCCCAGCACCGGTTTTAAGCGTGCCTCTACAACTAGACCTGGTAGGGAAAGTAAAATCCGATTAACGGGTCTGTCTCTGGTACAGGCCTAGGGAGCAGGTGGAAGGGGCCAAGGGTAAGGAGAAGATTCTCCTAAGAAGCCCCAAAAGGGCCGGTAGTAAGTCTTGTGAAGGTTTCATGCCGCTCGGGCATGGTCCTCTTTTAGATATATTTTGGCATTTAGAGGCATAGGGAACGTTGTGAAATGGCAGAACAGGTGAACCAAGAAGCCTACTGGGTGTGAAATTTGAATCCACTGCGCCTTTAAGAGAGTGCAATGGTTTTGCCGGTGGCAGCCGGCTCCAATATGTGACCTGTGGTGAGTGCTTGGACAACACCCATAAGAACACCGAATTTTCTTTTGACAGAAGAGACAATGACTCCTTTCCACCCTAAATGGGCGAAGAGCGCTGGTAGTGTCTTATTTAAAATTTGATTCCCTAAGACAGAGAAAAAGCTACTCCCAAGTTGTCGTGGGTAGAATTTTCTCTCGTACATGAAAAAGAGGAAGAATGAGGCCTCAACGATAGAATAAGAAGAAGAAAAGGAAAGAACAGAGTTATTTCCAGGGTGTAAACCCCATCAGAGTTCCTTGAAGTCGATGGTTACTTAGCTAATGGAGAATATTATCCACCTTAAGAGTAACAGGTTTAAACCACTGTAATCAGCTAGTAACTGC